TAGACATGAAAGCATCCTTAAGAACATGTACCAATCAGTGTATACTGTGAACACCAATTCTGTGCTCCTGTTTAATTTTTTTCTTAAGTCTTCACAAGGGACATGTATGTTTGAGGGGAAAATCAAGCAATGCTGAAACAATGTAATTAATCTTCAGTTTTTTACTTAACAGTATTCCAGAGGCTTACTGTCTCTACAATATGCTATTATTAGAGAATAAGCAGTATCATAACCATTGAAAATACAGAATCTTCATAGTCTGGTCTACAACTTTTTTTAGTGCTTCTTAGCACTGTAAAACTGTTTGGAAAATTTTGTCCTGAAATTAATTATATTTTCAGTAGAAATCATAGTTCTGTCTGATTTAGTGTTGGTTGACGTAAGTACTTTTGTTGTGTACCTGTATCTTAGCTGCACTGCAGAGAAACTGATCTGTTTTAGGCAGGGTGAGGTGTAGAGGAGATGCAGGAATGGGCTGAAGTATCCTTTATATCTGCCTTTGTATCTAGGGGAGTTGAAAATAGGCAAGAATGGAGAGAAATATTGTGTGGCAGTGCACAGAATTTTGCAAGTTTAATGTGGGTCCTGCAGCAATCCGATGCATTTTAGTTACTGGTAAGTTTGTTAAATTCTGTTTGAAAAATTGTTCATCTTAGAAGACAAGTCTTCTAACCAATATTATTTCCTCTGTGTCAACAGCAGCCTTTCTAAAAGCATAATTTTAGCAACCTGGTTCTGCTGATATATATTTTTATATTTAAAATCTTCAGCTATAATTTATTTTCTGCTGCTAAGATGACCTCATAAATTGACTGTCCTTAGAAATATGTTAGAAGTTCTGGATAGAGTCCTTTAAATTAGGCAGTCAGGTCTATAGAAGACTAAATTCTTAGAATGCAATATTGAGGAGAAAAGATGTGAGTGTGGATATATATACCCACGTGTGCACACACGCTTAAATCTTTGCTTGAGGTTAGTCTGAACGTGTGGGGAAAGAGAATTTTTAAAGACATTGGGAAAGCTTATCTGAGAATAGTTAATTGTTGTGCCTTCTTAGGTAGATTGAATGCTCGCTAGCATAAAGTATAAGACAGGTAACATAAAGTAAAAACAGTGTTTTGTAAAACAAACTGTTATCTAGTGTAGTTTCATTCCTTCCTTTCTCCTCCACAAAAATACATTTCACCTGAAATGAGTGTAAGCAAGATATCTGGAAAAAAAATCAGACTAAGCATGTAATCTGTTTTCTGCCTGTCTGATCATCATCATCTTCACGTAGTAGTAGCTTCAGTTCTGTATGTGCAGTGAGAATTTAAAAAATGCTTCCATTTTGATTTTGCAGTTTTTCTATCAGTTAAAATATCACAGAGCTTTTAATTGCGTTATTTCCTTCATAATGATGTGGACAAACTGCTAGTTACATTTAATTATGGTGGTAATTTTCATCAGTACTGTGCTCCTATACACCTCAAACTACTTTGTGCATCCGTGTGCCAGGTCGTTCTCCTTAACTGCTGCTTTTTCTGGTACTTGGAATTTTTTATGTGCGTGAAGGTGTAAAGTGTAATGATGCATGCATGTGTGCTATCCCAAGATTTGAATTACCATACACTACAGTTAAGTCCATTATTTATGGAGGCAATCTTGGATAATGCAGAAGGATTAGAAGCTAGCGTTACTGCTCTCGGACCTAAGCTGACTCTGCAGAGCTGGCTTGTGAAGTCTTTATGTGTCTGCTTCAGTAGATGTTAAAAGCCGTTTTGGATTTAGGAAAGGGCATAGCTCATTCACAGAAGTATTGGCTGAATTAATACGCTTTCCTGGAACTAGAAGGATTGGCATCATTTTGCAGTGACAGCGAAGGTAGCTCTTTGCAGAGCTAATGTGAGCAGGCAGGATGAATCAGTTCACCAATACCCAGCATAAAGATGATTAATATCTCAAAAGTGATATTTGGGCTCTATCTGCAGCTGAATTAATAAACACTGTTGATTCAGTCTTCCTTGCATAGAACTAGCTTGTATGTTTCTGTATCTGTGGCATAGTTAAATATTAACTGGCCACTGATGATTTCTGCATTGACTGGTGTGTTTTATATGTATTTAAAAAGAAGAAAAGAGAGAAAAATCATTATTGTTAGGATGTCAGTGTGTCTTCTAACTTATATTCAGACCTCTCTTGAATTTTCTAACAATTGTGTAGACTTTATATTTATATGAGATAAGAATAACTCCAGCCCATAAGTTTACATCTAAGTTCATAGAATGGACAAATAGGCTGCAATACAAAGAAAGAGGCTTTTGATAAATTACTTAGAGAAGTGGAAGTAGAACCTGTTAAGTTTAAGTCTGGTGCCATGTTCATGATGTAACAATCTTTTAAATCCATTTAAAAAATATCTTTCTTTTACTTTTCAATGTAATATTAATAGTATTTGTTACTGTAATTTAGGTCCTAATCCTGCAAAGATGCATGCTGTTTCTTAACTTCATACAAAATGGGGTTTCCTCCTAAATCATAGAACCACAGAATGGTTTGGGTTGGAAGACCTTAAAGACCATCTAGTTCCAACCCCCCTGCCATGGGCAGGGACACCTTCCCCTAGACCAGGTTGCTCAAAGCCTCATCCAGCCTGGCCTTGAACACTTCCAGGGATGGGGCATCCTCAGCTTCTCTGGGCAACCTGTGCCAGTGCCTCACCACCCTCTCTGTGAAGAACTTCTTCCTCCTATCTCATCTAAACCTCCCCACTTTCAATTTAAACCCATTACTCCTTGTCCTGTCACTACAGGCCCTTGCAAACAGTCCCCCCCAGCTTCCTTGTAGCCCCTTCAGGTACTGGAAGGTGCAATAAGGTCCCCCCAGAGCCTTCTCTTCTCCAGGCTGAACAAGCCCAACTCTCTCAGCCTGTCCCCATAGCAGAGGGGCTCCAGCCCTCTGAGCATCTTCGTGGCCTCCTTTGGACTCGCTCCAACCAGTCTATATCCTTCTTATGTTGAGGGCTCCACAGCTGGATGCAGCACTCCAGGTGGGGTCTCACCAGAGCAGAGTAGAGGGGCAGAATCCCCTCCCTCGACCTGCTGGCCACACTTCTCCTGATACAGCCCATAAGGTTACCAAATCATAAGATTACTCATAAAGGATGGTAATAAGCACCATATATATGGAGTGTTTTTTGACGTATTCATTTAAAAAAAAAAACAAACCAACCAAACTACTTTCTAAATACAAAACTTCAACCATTTACATGAGCTTCTTATGGATTGTCATGGAGTAAAAATGATGAGTATCTCATTTTAAATGACAAATACAATAGAAACTTTCAGTCAGGGTAAGAAAAAATTGGTACATATAACCTGGTTTGAAATTGATGTGACAGCTTGACAGGTTGTTTTGATAAAAGCTTTAGAGTCCTGTAAATGGATATTATCTGTGTTCTTTTACTGCCGACACTCTGTGGAGCTTTCTGTATGTGATTTTAGCCTGATTATTGTGACCATTCAACAATGAAGCAAAACAAGGCACTATTTCATGTTCACAGCATGTACTTTGCCTACATCGTGTACTTTTCGCATGGCAGCCTTGCTCACCAAATAGAATGGATTTTGTTTTCCTCAGCACATTGGTTATTTTTTGGTGCTGGCATGGATTAACCAATCTCAATAATTACTTCAAAGTAAAAGGTTGTATTTGGAGAGCAAGCGACCTTTTAGCTGGCCAGATACTGTAAGTAAGGTTGAAAATTATAAACTGCAGATTGGGTATTTCCTTTAATTCACTTTTTCATAGCTGCAGAAGCCACAGTTCTCACCCTTGCCTGTGCCCACTACCTGTGTGAGAACTTTCATGGTTGCAGATATTTCTCTGTACAGCTGGGAAGTGTTGTACCCGTTTTATTTTTAGAAAAGGAATAATGACTTCGTGTCTGTATTGTATACGCAGTACAATGCCTTCTGTCACCTAACGTTTTGAGACACTTGAAAAATAATTTTAAACATTTCCTCTCATAAATGGTTTTAGTTTTTTCTTTTTCTCCTTTTCTGCTGGGATTTTCAGCAACAGATGAGTGTATTTTTCTTTCCCTCTCACCACCCAAGAGTCAATTGCGATTTTTTTTTTTCCCCATGGTACATTGATCTGTCATGTATTTCCATTGTTTCACTTTCTTGCCGAGTCTGCCCCTGAAGTCTTTCATATCTCTTCTGTTTCTAAACTGCAACCTTTTCTGAATGCTATTTTTTCCTCCCTGTGCTTTATGAGTGCTTTGCGTATGGATGCTACTGGGATAGGCTGCTGGGTGATTTCCTTTTTGCCTCTGGATTCTCTCTGTGCTTTCCTAACTGGATGAAAGTGATTCTCAACCTTCATTTGGTCAGGCCTAGGCATTATTCTCATTTATGGTCTGGAGAAGGTATGAAGGAAGTTCTCCAGCCTGGTGTTGCTCCACTGTGATTCGTGGTGGGCATCGCTGCCCGTGTGCATGTTCAGCCATTGAATGCCTCATTTCTGCAGTAGTAGTGATTCTAGGGACTGAAAAGTGTGGAATGATGATATACCTAGTGGCTGCAAATTTTGCTCTTTAGCAGTCACTCTGGATGGTAAAATGGTTGACACAGCCCCTGCCTGGATCATTCTAGCACTGTCAGCTGGATCCCACTCATCACCTCCTGCCTCGTCCAACTGCAAAACCTTTGGCTAGAACTGCAAGCCGCAGGACTGGATGTTGAAATCCTGGGATAGTCCTGGTCAAATCAGGAGAGCTGACAAAATGATTTTGTACTTCTGTTTGAATATGAACTCCCACTCCTACCATTCTTAATAGGTGAACAATCATTGGAGAAATTTGTCAACAGAAAAAGTAAGATTTGTATTGTTTCGAGGAACTCTTCACCACCTTCAAGCCTTTTTCTGTTCATTTAATAGCCAGTTAATTTTGAGAATGTAACAGATTGACTTTTCTACATTTTTAATCCAAAAAAATGCTTGTTCTTTACATGCAGTGCTACCCTATTGGCTTTCTTGGTTGAGCTTCTTAAGAGTTCAGTAGCCATGCAAGAACAAATGCTTGGTGGAAAAGGCTTTCTGGTAATTGGCTACCTCCTCGAAAAGGTACGTGTGGAGGGGGGTTTTAGCTTTGCTCTTAGTATTTCTAGTATCGTTGTGGTATTTTCAATCATTTAGCTCAAAGGAGTGTTGGAATAAAATGTATTTCTGATATAAAATCACAAGGAGTCTTTTTGTCTTTCCTAAACTCTTATATGCCAATATTTAAAGAATCCATTTTCTGGAGTTGATTCTGTTTGTCTAATTTATGTTTTTACTTTAGATATTTTTGTGAATCACTTCAATGTATTTTCATTAGTGTTTTTCCACTCCTATGCCCCAGACACTTGTTCAGGAAAGTTCTCTTGTTCCCAGTTTCTACAAATTTATCACAGGACATGTCGTAATTTAGGTTTAAATTTCTTTTTTTGCATATGCTAATAAAAATTAAGTTAATCTTCTGTGACTCAGTTCTGAAACTGTGGAAATAGTTTCTCTGTGTCTTGAAGAAGAAAAAACTGTAAAATAATTTCATTTCTGAAAAAGCAGTTGCAAGGGGCATTTCCTTGCTCATTTTCAGACATGCTGAGTTTTCACAAAACTGAGATTCAGTTCAGATGCTTGTCTGAGGAACAGTACCTGCCTCCTGGCCTGAAGCCATCCTGAAACCCTGTTACTGTGATTTAATAATCTGAAAACAAACTACTGTCAGCTGTACTAAGATAGTAATACTCTCACGATTGAATCTCATGGCTCTGACATTCTGGAATGTCTGCTACACTATTTTTCATTAGTATGTGGTCGGTATAGCAATCATGAGAAGTTACAGCCAGGGCTTTGTAGTTTCTGATAGTGACATTAAATAGCAATAATCTCACCTTTAAAAATGTACTGAATTTTGAAGAAGAATGATAAATAGTTTCTCACATTCTGCCTCCTACGTTATTTTCAGGTAGGGAAATACATTCTTACAGTAGAAAGACTTTACCTCCACTGAAGTAATACCTAAAAGCAGATTTTCTATGCTTCTCTTTTCTGTACCAGGCAAGTGTGATTTAGTATGTTGAAGGACTAGTCTGAGGTGTTTGTTTTGTTTTGTTTTGTTTTCCAATAGTAAGTTTTCTTGTCACATAAGCAGAATGAATTTACGTAGCTGTTAGCTCCAATTCTCTAAGTTATATACAGGCAGACTAGTGAGCCCTCATGGAGTCCCTTTCTCTTGAATAGAGCTCTGTGGTTTATGTATATTGAAAACATCCAGTTAGAATGTTGTACATTAAATTTAAAAAAAAAAAAAGTTCTAATTGATGCGTGCTACAATCATTAATCTCAGGATATGTGAATATTTAACGATTTCAATTGATTTCTGTCGCAACATAATTCTTACAGCATATGCTGTTTCTGGGGCATTTTTATGATATATTCTCCTTAGTTGCAGTTTTTCAAAAGGATATATTTTATTTTTTCACTATATGCTTGTCTTCAGTTGGCACATACATTGAAGGAAAAATCCTTTTGTTTCCTAGCCAGGCTCAATTTTATTATTTGTACATTATCTGTTGTTCATTTGCATGTGATCAAATACTTCAGAGAGGACAGAAAGCTTTTTATTTTCTGACTTGAACTTCAAAATAACATTTTTATTCTTATTAGTTGCAGACTATTTATTTTGAATTGTGATGTACATGCCAAAGGAAACTCTGCATCCAGACTGAACTTGTATTACTGACAAATTGACTTCACTTCTAAAAATAACAAATCTGCATATTCCCAGACTGTACTTACAGCATTCAAAGAAAATGGAACATTTTGTAGAGAAGGCAAGGAGAAGGATGTTTAGAAGTTTTTCCTATTAGGTCCTTTTGTTAACTTGGTATATAAGGAAGTTTGTTAAAGTCCACATGCTTTGTTACAGCATAGGAGCAGGTCTCAACAGTAATTTTCTAGCATAATGCTATGAAACTGAAGGACTCTCTTGAAATTTGAGGAAACCTGGAAACCAACTCCTTCAAATGCCTGCTTACGTTTAGGGAACAAAAGCAAGTGTACCCGTCGTTTTTTTACATACTGAGACACCCAATTTCAGTATGACAAATAATTAACTAAAGAGTTAAGGACTTCAGATGAAGTTTTCAAGGCACCGTGCTAGAACATGTAGAATCATGACCGGATTATAATTTTAAAGCACCCAAACAAATAAACTCCCCTCCCCCCAAAAAAAATTAAAAAAAAAAGGAAAAAAGGGAAAAAGGCTTTAACTTCTTATTGATGAATATTTTTAACTTGTTAAATGTAGCCCTTAGAAAGACAGTGAATATTATCAGAAGTTGCATATTATTACAAGTTGCTGATAATTTGTTTCTGACTTTCTTTTCATATTCAGTGACATAAAAACATATGAGTTTGCATGTATTTAGTAAAGATAAGCCTGGTAAAAATGTCACTTCATATTTCTGCTGTAATTATATTAAGGAATAAGTTTTTTCATTATGTTTGTTCTTTCTGATTATTTTTCCCCAGTCATCTAGAGTTCATATAACCAGAGCAGTTCTGGAACAGTTTTTATCATTTGCAAAATATTTGGATGGATTGTCTCATGGAGCACCTCTACTGAAGCAATTATGTGACCACATCCTTTTTAATCCTGCTATCTGGATACATACCCCTGCAAAGGTAACCAGACACTTGAATGTTCCAAAGCTTCTAAAATGAAGTGAAATACTAGTTTTCTTTTATATTGTGGTAATAGCAAAGATTTTTTAGATCATGCCACCTATGCCATGCTTAACTGTATTCTCCAATGTCTTTCATAAGTTCCTTAAAGCATTTACATTCTTGGCTATAGTTCTGACTAATTTGTTAAATAACTTTTCCCAGAAACCCAGCCCGTTTCTCAGTAGTTGCATTACATTTTTTTCCTAAAGGCTAAGCATAAAAGTATGTATTCTTAATTGTAGCAAAAGATGGGATATCTTTTGTTATACATTCACACAAGCTTTCATTTTCATTTGAATTATGTATTTTGGTTTCGTAAAATCTATGAAAAGTTATTGTTCATCTCTGGTAAAAATGAACTAATTTTTTTTCCTAAATAATCACAGTTGAGGAATGTAGACCAAAATTAAAAGTGGTGTAGTCCTAAAATCTGAAAATAGATACTTTTAGTATTAAAAAAAAAAAAAAAAACAAAAAAACCAAAACAGGATAGAAAACAAACCAGTACATTTATCATGACTTAAATGATAGAATCACAGAAAATTTAGTCTGGATGGGACCTCTGGAGGTCATTCCGGTGTCAGTCCAGTGTCTGCCCTGAATAAAGTTCTAATTAAATTTTAGTTTCTTGTATCATATCCAAAATAATACAAGTTAAGGTTACTAATACAGAAATTACATTGATGTGGATAACTATTTCATTTTCAGGTGCAGCTGTCTTTGTATACCTACTTGTCAGCTGAATTCATTGGAACTGCTACGATCTATAACACCATACGCAGAGTAGGAACAGTACTGCAGTTAATGCACACACTGAAATACTACTACTGGGTGGTTAATCCTGCTGATAGCAGTGGCATTACTCCTAAAGGATTAGGTAAGTGCAATGTGTGAGAAAGAGAATATGAGCATTTCTTGTATAGGAAGAAGATTTATGATGTAAAGGTATGAAAGCTCCTTGGATCCATGGACATGGAGGTAGGTAAATGGAAATCATTGGTACCAGTGGTCAACAGCAAAATGACTGTGCAAGTACATTTGGTGTGTCACAAACCTATGATGATAACTCCTTATGTTTATATGTATTATCAGAAGATTCCAACTTTGGTCTTCACTGACATAACATATACTTAGGTGGCCATACGTTAAGAAACATATTAAGATCACTGATTTTTCTTCTTCTGTTACAAAGAGGAAATGTTAAGTGTATTTCATATGCCAAATAAATCTTTCTGAAGCTTGAATGACTGATAGTGTTAGGTGACCTTGAAAACAGGGTGGAAACTTCTAGTTCTCACTGCTGGGATCTCTGAAGCTGTATTTCCAGTTTAATGATATTTTTTCTCAGCCCTTACAAAATAGAGATTGATTTAACTTTGCCTACAGTCATGAGCTTAGCTTAGCTCAGGAAGCATTGAATGACAGCAACAACAAAATACAATAATAATACCCTCTAAACGCTGCATGTAACAGATGTGTATTAACCAAAGCATCAAATCATTCTAATCCTATACACCCCAGCTGTAATGTCATTACATTTAGCTGACGACTTGTGTAAAGTAGGGAGGATTTGGCGGAAAGTCTCTTAAAAATTAATTGATGTAGGAGAACTTATTAATTATCTTTATTCTGTAACTATTACTGTCATGCTGAGAAACTGAATAATTTGGGTATCTTTCAGTGCTGTCACTTATCCAAATATTTAAGAATGTGAGATATATAACATAAGTTACTGGATAATTCTTCATTTGTAAGTGAGTTGTATGCATAGAGTTTTTTCTTCTATTATTTTTTTAATAAATAAAGATAGAAAGAAAAATTCTTATCCTAGATTAGGTATCCTAATCCTACTCCAAGTTGTAATTGTTGAGGCTCAAAGAAAAAGCTACTGTTGGAGCTGGGACCTCATTTATAGTTCTCTCATTGTCTAATATTAGATGAACTATATTATTCATAAAATTATTAAAATATGCTTTAAATATACCTAACAAAAGCACACTATTCATTTGAGTGAAAAGTTTGTAAAATCAGATTATGAAGATTAACTGTGGTGTTTACTTAATAAGTCAGAGTTTTTTGTTCCTGATAAAATAGGTTATCCAATTAACATTAATTCTAGATTCTCTCTGCAAAATAGAGTTAAGTTCAATTTTGGTACTTACAGTGAAGGTGTCTCCATCTGAACTGGATGTGGAATGCAACAGTCAGTTTCCTGAATGTCGGCTTCTAGCACCATTTTAGTCTTTAGCCTTCCAGAAGGATGGAGATGTCCTGTATATCCTGCATCAGATGTCTTTGTTCTGCATAGATATTTTGGATCACTTACGGCATGTCAAATCACACTGATAGTTTAGGAAGCTGTGTCCTACCCCCAGACAACAGACCCTTGAAAACTCTGTAGTTTGAAAGGTAGTTTTTTCTAGATTACACTGGCCATATTGGTTAGATCTCCATTGACTTCAGTGGAAGGTTAGAAGTTGGTCTCACGTGTCGGCAACTACTCTGTAGATGTCTAAAATTAGGGTTAACTGAATCCTACTCCAGGATTGACTTTATCCAGTTTTATGCTTTCAGAGTGCTACTCTGCTGTCCTGCTGCATAGGTACAGCTTTACCATCAGACAAATTCAGCTTATTTGAGTTCAGTGAGGATTTAGGGGGTATTAAAACTCAGCTGGTCAACTTATAAGACATACATTCTATTTGTGACTATTTGTGCTGGTTTTGCCTGGGATAGAGTTAAATTTCTTTCTAGTAGACTTTATGAGGCTGTGTTTTGGATTTGTGCTGAGAAGAATGCTGATAACACTGATGTTTTAGTTATTGCCAAGCAATGTTTATATTAAGCCAAGGTCTTTTTCAGTGTCTCATATTGCACTTGGGTTCCCAACTTGTTCTATACAAGACGCTGAGAGGAGAGACAACCAGGACAGGTGACCTAAACCGACCAAAGGGATATTTCATGCTACAAGATGTCATGCTTAGTGTATAAACTGGGGGGAGTTGTTGGGGTGGGTCGCTGCTCAGGTACTGGCTGAACATCAGTCACTGTTATTATTAGTAACGGTAGTATAATTATTTTATTTCAATTATTGAGCTGTTCTTATCTCAGTCCATGAGGGATGAACAAAGGAAGGCAGGGACGTTTGGTGTTATGCTGTTTGTCTTTTGTCAAAGTAAATGTTACACATGATGGAGCCCTGCTATCCTGAGATGGCTGAACGCTTGCCTGCTGATGGGAAGTGGTGAATGAATTCCTTGTTTTGCTTTCCCTCTGTGTGGCTTTTGCTTTACCTGTTAAACTGTCTTTATCTCAATCTCAAGTTTTCTCACTTTTACTCTTCTGATTGTCTCCCCCTTCCTGCTGTGGGGAGGGAGTGAGCGAGCAGCTGTGTGGTGCTTAATTGTTAGTTGGGGTTAAACAGCATCAGTCCTTTTAGGCACCCAAACATAACCTCATATTAGCTACTATCAAGAAAATCAACTCTATTCCCAGCCAAAACCAGCAAACTGTTGAATGACCAGCTGTCATGAGGTAAGGTTTCCAGGTGTCAACCATATTTGCACATAGACAGAGTCCTGGAAAATTGTTTAACCTGCTTGAGACTGTAAGTTTGATAATATTGTCTACTTATTATTGCTGTAATTCTTTTTTTGTTTTCCTTTTTGGGGTGATGTTTTGAGTTTTTAATTACAAAATTCCTGTACTTCTGTGTCATGATACTACTACCTTACAACACTTGGAAAATGTATTGCTGATTACAGACTTCCCTCTGGCTAGGCTTGCTCTTTTGTGGAAACAGTGTGACATTTCTTTCTGGAGGAGCTATGGCTTGTTTTTATCTTGCCCAGATCTGCCTCTCTGCAGTTAGCTGTATTTTTGCTGCATTTGTATGTGTAATGCCAGCTTAATTGCTACAAAAAAATACATAATGTATTCAACAAAATCTGAACAGAAGGCATGGGTGCACAAGGACACAAAATTAGGAATGAGAAATGAATCAGTTAACTATAAATTAACATACATATGGCTGTTTTATTTCCCTGCATTTTATTTAATTCTTACCTATTTAAAGGATATAGTACATTCTTTTCTCATTTATGTCAATTCCAGACAATATTCTGTTTTTCTCAGAAAGGTAACCAGATAATGCAAATTTCTGGTTATTTGGTGTAACAGTGTGACAGCCAAAATCATAATTACTAAGGTACTACTTCATACAGTAGTTGGCAAGGGTTTTGATAAACTGTGAGGCCATGCACATTTTCAAAATATATGTTATTATCCACTCTATATGAATTATCTCTTTTTTTTTCTTTAGTTATTTTTATAGATAAACTTGACTTTTTTTAAGGTTAATCTCAACTTCTTTCCTTGTGCCTTATCCTCTTCCTTCCTTCCTGTTGCTTCAGTTACAGAAAGTCCCATGTAATAGATACGATTATAAGAAACTATTTTGTAGTTCTCTCTTTCCTGTCTCTAAAAATGGCTTTCCTTGTGTTGAGTTGAAGAATGACAGCTTATCGGGAAGGAAGATCAGTGACCTAGCAATGGATGTGCAAATCCAGCATAGCTAAGGAATTCTCTCCATGCAAATCAGAACTAGGACTTTTTTACTATTATTTCACAGGCAGCTTCTGCTTCTGACTAATACAGCTTAATAACTGTGGTGATTTGCAAGCAAATGACTGTGGAAATACAATAATTGCTGAGGTGATGGGTTGCTAAATTTAATTTCACATTAACTTAATGTCATATTAGGTTTTTTTAACAAATTAACATTAACTACTTTTAATTGACAAAATTCCTGAAAACTTTTCAAAATGTTTAATCACCTGGATATTGCCTCACTTCACCAGATGCTCTTTCTTTTAACATTAAGTGCAATCTGTCAGTGTGATACTCAGGTTTGACTGAAACAGGCGTACAGTCGTAGAGTAGTGTAAGTAGCTGTAGTTCATACAACTAATGCTTTTTTCTTTCCACCTCTGTTTTCATCAACTTGTAACTTAATTAATCCTAGTATTTCAAAATCTAACTGTTCCAGGATTTTGGTTTTCAGTTTATTTTTATTAGCCTGAATACAGCCACTACTGCCACATGTAGCTGGCAAGTTTATAATTTGTTAAAATGCAGAATAATGTGTAAACAGATGTTTGTGAAAGTAAGAAACATACACTGTAAAAAATACAATCATGTAAACGTTAGATTGTTGTATTTTAAATAATATTTGATATTTCAAAATGGAAGAACAAGACCCATTGTCTATAAACAGTAATTTTACTGTAAGAAATAGAAAAATGTCATAATGCAAGAAAATGGCATATGATATTCCTTTATCAGAGGCAACTGAAACTTTCAGCTAACTTGACATCAGGCTTTTCAGATCTGAAGAAGAGTTTAATGAAAATCTTGCCACTATCTGAAATTTGACTCTATGTGTTATAGTGCCTTCAAATAATTTGCTGACATATATAGAAAGTAAGCCTATTCATGCAGGCATTTTAGTAGTGTGATGTTTTCTTGTCTTCTAGACATAGAATTTTTTATGCAGAGATACTGAAACCCTTTTTAATATTAGTAGTTTGATCCACTATTACTTGCAGACAGTTAGTCTGCTTTAAGGTTTTATTGTCTTTGCTTGTCTTAATAAAGCACAAATTGAGTGAGTTTTCTCTACTGCCAGTTTATTATACCATGTTTAAAGCCAAAGTGGCTCAATATTGAAGCTTGCCATTTGGCTAATGCTGTTTTCTTAAAAAATGAAAGTTTTCACCTTGCTTCTTCTGGTATTCAGCTTATAAAATAGGAGTCATACATGTTTTGAAATATTTGAAAGGCTCAAATATTTATTTCAATTTTGGGTTTGTATATTCTCTTTTGTTATTGTTTTACTGTTTCAAATTGGTATTTCTTGGATACACATAGATTCACAGAATGGTAGGGGTTGGAAGGGACCTCTAGAGATCATCTAGTCCAACCCCCAGCTGGACTAAATTCAGTGTGCTAAATTCTGTAAACTAAATCTCTATTTTTCTGTTTCATTCTGAAGGCTTAGAAACACTTTTTCAAAATGTATACTTATCAGCTTGCCTGATAATTATTCTTAGTAGATTTTACATCTTAGATAGAGATACACATAGTGGAGGCAAGTTTTCTGCTTCAAAATTAGGAGTTTTGCTTTCTTTTTTTGTATTGTGTTTGTGTTGGGGTTTTTTATATTAAATTACCAGATAGAAATAGGTGGCAGAACAAAAGTGACTTGTGTTTTATTAAGACCATATTAAAGGTAAACTTGCAAAATAATTCTTATGTCGGGAAGAGCAGAAAAAGTCAAACCATGTTCCACAAGAAAGAATGTCCAAACTTCATTATATTTAACATTTTACACTTGAACTATGGTTATAGCTATTCACTTGATGTGCAACATGCATGCCTTTAACATTTTGTTAAATCATACAGGTGGGAGAAGATCATAGGTTGCCCAACAGTTGCAGCATCTATAGACACAGGGAAGCAGGCATTTGAGCAAAAATTATTTAAGATTATATTATTTCTTTCTGTAATAATTTCTTTTTGTGGATTTCAGGAATGAATAAGAGGATAAGTGGGGAGAGATTTAACTCTCTCTTGCTGTGGTAGATGGTTTATTTCAGTGATAATACTTTAAGCTGCCAGAGATGTCTTAGCATTATGTTACCAGCCTTTCTTCTTCTTTGATGCTTCATCTTTTCCAAATATATACTAGACTGACATTTAAAGAAAAGACAAGCTGTGATTGTCTTTCAGAAGAGGCAAAACAGACATATTTTTAATTATCAGAGCAACAGAAAAATTTGGATACACTGTTTTCACATTCGAATGTCTGTGAAGTGTTCGATAGTTTAACATCTTTTTAAACGTATTTAAAGAAAAAGAAAATTATTATTTACTTTAAAAAAAATCTCCACATTGATAAATTAATTTTATGCATACTTCCTGTAAATTTAAGAGACATCTTATTACAGCCCATCAGGATATTTATGCCTTCAAAAATCTTCATTGGAATTACTTACCAACTGCATGGCATTCTGAAAATACCGATGGACCAACAGTGGTGAAGTAATGAGAAAGCGTAAAATGAAGGCAATAACATAAAAATAAACTAAATATTGTGGAGTTTTCCCCCTAAGAAAAAATAACGTAATTAAACTCACTGTTTACTCTCAGAAATGGATTGTGCTAAACTGTCATTTTTGAGCCTCTTGAGGAGCTTCCCTATGAAATACTTGAGGCTTCCTAGTTTTATGAGGGAAATATGTATTTCAGTTCCAGAGGAGTGTAGTTCATTCTTGAGCAGCTGGCCAAGCATCTCTTTCTCTCTACTAGTGTTTCCTGTGTGCTTCCCAGCTCTTACTCTGAATGGACCTTTATGAGCAGTATCTTGCCTCCTGCTAGGGAATGCACTGTTGTTAATGTCTAAGTGAACTCATGTTAGAGTTTTCAAGAACATTTTCCATGTCCAGTATTTTTGAACATGAGCTAGAAAAGTGGGGATTATGAAAATTATTATAAGGAGAAGGTCATTATGATATTTCTTTTTGTGGATAGAAAAAGTTGCACAGAATTATTTGAAGGGCTGTGTTAGAGTGGAACTCAGTTCTCCTTAGCTTTGCAACAGTAAGTTGGTCCTTCTGCAATCCACATAACATGATGTTATTTATGCATGTGTGGAGATAAGATTCTGCTCTCTGTATCATGTTTTATTAATTTAAGGAGTAGAAAAATCATGCTTTTTACATATAAAAAAGCCAGATGGAAGAATGTTGCATTTGATTGCTTGTAGAACTTAAAACATAATGTTTTATTCCCAAAGACAGGATTAGAAATCATTATTTTTGTTATTCAAATCTCCCAATACGTTTTTTTATATCAGTACTGATTGTACTTTACTCTGAATCTGTTTACTTACTCACTCTTAATTAGTTCTGTTTTATGCCCCTATAATTGCTCTGTGCTGCAAGGATGAATTGGATACATTTTTTTCATTTATTTTTTTCTGGATAAAGCTGGCTAACTATCATTATGAGTGTATAATAAAAAAAATCTGATGCAAATCATGTGCTGTCTGCAATAAATACATACATAAAAAATCTAAAAGCAGGAAATGATTTAGTGACTCATTCTGGTGTGGGAAAAAGGGAGGCATCCTTTCTCTTTGCCATTTAGCAAGAATATTGCTTTTTTGTATCAGGGTTTTATGGTTGCTGTACCAGATCTTAAAGGGATTATCTTTGTTGTTGATTTGGTTTGGGTTTGGTTCTAGTCTTTAGCAGTGCTGTTTATCAGTTTGTGAGTGGTGGAGACACTGAATTATCTGTATCCAGTGATGGGCAGAAAAATCAATACACAATGAAGAAAACTACTTTTCAGTGTTTGAGTTGAAAAACAAGATCTACATGTCTCTCTTTACCTCACTATATGTGTGTATAACTTACATGTTTTAATTATAGTATACCTTTGTTTGGTCAATAATGCAAATTTTTTTTAATAAATCTTCAAGTAGTAATGAAGGTTTTCAACTAGTAATGAAGACAAAACGTGTGTTAACATAAAAATTATAGTGGCAAATACATTTTATGTAGCTGTGCAAGTTCCAAAATTAATTAATTCCAGTCAGTTTGTATCAGATGACTGTCGCATTACTATTACTATACCTTTATTCCCCTCTGTAGCTGCCTGCTGGTTATGTAGCTTCCGGTTTCCCCACTCTCTCTTGTTTTTCTGTACCATTCCTCTTTTAATTTTTCAAACTAATAAAGTCTTTTGGGTAGAGGCTGTCTCTTTTCTCTGATTCTAATGTAGTGAAGCTTCAAGGCACAACAAAAATATAGGGAATAAATAGTACTGGAGGACTGAAGGGAAAAGGACCAGTTTGCCTTCTTGGCATATAACCTGCGAGCATCAACTCCTTTGGTATCTTCTGCGTGTTGAACTTTTTTCAGGTTTCTCACACATCACCAGAGAAAGTAGTGGGTATAGGAATAAGAAGTATGAAACTCAGGTGTCTTTGAACAGGTTCCCAGTTAATTTGGGATATCTTCTTTTTAATCCCTCCTTAAAATTTTTGTTACAGAGATGCTTTGTAGAGCTCCTCATTGCTTTATTGTTCTGTTTTCTGTTTCCTTAATTACAGTATTCCAAAAAAGACAAAATGCCTCAGTTTTTAAGCCTGGTTTTCAGATACCATTTGATATTGAATCCCAATAAAGTGTAGGAGAGTGTGCAAAGAAACAGATTTTTGTGATGCAGTTAGAGGAGTTGAATCTGCATTTGAATTAGGGAAAAAGAAGTAGCTGTTGGCTAGAAGCACATCATTGCCATAAAAACACATGCTGTATTTAATGTAGTTGCAGCTAGTACCAAAAAAAAACCAACTTACTTCTATTTTTACAATGAGAAATAGATGATATTTCATCGTACCATTAGAATATATGGATAGAAAACTGTCCTATGTCTTTGAAGCCTGTATGATAGGGTTTTTTTATGATATCTTTACTGTTTTACACATGGTGTTGAGGAGAGGTTGAGAATTATTTGCAACTTTCTGGAAAGTAGTCAGTTCTCCTCTCTCCGCTTCTAAACAGGGAAGAAAACTTGAGAGGATTAACCACTCTTTTTATTCCTGTTAGTCAAACACATATAACTTTTCAGTTTTGCTCTTGTTGCAGACTTGAATTACTACTGTGTGTACTTTGTGTGTATCAGTGGCTTCACTTCAAAGCGTGAAACCAGAGACTATAAAAAAATCTTCATCAAGAAGTTGCATTCATCTGGATTGGAAATAACACTGAGACATAGAATGTTATTAAGCTTTGATATGAGTTTATCAGCATAAGATGAAATGGTTTCTGAAAAAACAGACTGTTTATTTTCACTGTGCAAAATTTAAGAGCATCTATGACAGACGTTGATTGAAAAGTAGGAACTTACTGAAAGAATTTCCCGTTCAACCTTAAATATTTATGAAAGGGGAGAATGGAAAATGCAATAAAGCAAGTTTCAAGTCAATATAGTTCACGCTCTGTATCTTATTCTTTTTTAGATACTTCTTATTTTACTTGTTTAAATTTAATATTTTCTTCAGATGGTAATTTCTCTTTGGTTAGATAGCTTCAGTTTCTGCTACAGGTAATGGCCACCATTATTTCATTAATTCTTTCTCTGTTGATTTTTGTTCAGATGGTATTTAACATAGTGGTTTAGTTATTCCAAGCTGTTATCACATATCTTAGGTGAGTCAACTTTGTATTCAGACCCTTTTAATTTATTACGTTACAGTGTAACTTCTACTATGTGTTTTCAGTGGAATTCAACTCAGTGTAGTCAATAAAACTAGTAAATCTCATCCTGAATTGGGCACTGACATTGGGTTCAGTTGAGTAGATCTAATCAATCAAGAGGCTAGTTGCTTATATTGGGATTTCAAATTGCTGGCTCATATGAAGACACCTACAGAACATACACCTTAATTTAGTTGTGAGTCTAGACCTGATTACTGTCTTTCATCTCTCTCTGTCTTTGTTTAAATATATATATATATGTATGTATGCATGGTTTTCTTTTTTTCCAGATGAAACATCACTTGTGTATATTGGTGTTGTAAATGTGATTCTGAAAGGTTATATATTATATCACTTGCAAATATGAACTTTTATATAATGAATAGGTTACTAAATGTGATGTAGGAACCGTAATTTCCTTAAGAAGCTGCAGTTATTAAAAGCATTAGTTTATATTTAAAACTGGTATATTTTTCTTCTTCCAGATGGTCCTCGGCCCTCACAGAAAGAAATCATATCACTGAGGGCATTTATGCTTCTGTTTTTGAAACAACTTATATTGAAGGTAAAGCAGTCTATTCCAGATGGAAAACATTGAGTTCTGTTATATACATGTTAGAGGATCTTCCATAGCATTAAATATGTAACACCTGTCAGGTATTCTATCTGTTTCTGGTTAATTTTAATGTTCGTGCAGATAATTCTAATAAACATAATGGTAGTAAATCCATACAATATTTCATATTAACCTCGCCAAACTATGCCCTATATATTTTATTAAATGTATTACAGAAATAGTATGTGACACTACAGAATGTTTCAGGTATTTGTACTTTTTTTTTTTTTTTTGTGATAGTAGGTAGTTGCTTGATTGATCAAATGAAAAAGGTAATGGCAATTATTAAGTTAGTTATTGCTTTATTTTTTGGGGGGGTTGGGTTTTTTTTGTTTGGTTTTGGTTTTTGTTCTACCACTGGTTGAAATGGTCTTTTATGGACTTTTTCTCTCTGTGAGAACTGAATGCTGGTCTTTGTGGTATAATCTGTCATTTGAGATTAGACTGAAAACCTGTATTTTCAGGCCTGGCTTATTCCTCCTGTTTTTTCTCTTCTGTCTCAGGCATTGGAGGAGTGACAGTAATAGTGTGTAGTATCTCAGGGCTCACACTCTAAGAATCCTTTCTAGCAGGAGTAGAGGGCTGACTTCATATGGTTTTGAATTGTCATTGTGATGAGGAAAAGCAAGGGAATGAAAGAGAGAATTTAGTCTTTTAAGTAGAAAAAAATGTAGGATTATTTGACTTGGTCCAAGTTCTTCTTGAGCCAAACTTACATACCACCCCTCCCTTTTTTTTTTTTAGGATCGAGGAGTGAAAGAAGATGAACTGCAGAGCATATTAAATTACTTATTAACAATGCATGAGGTACCTTTCTGTAATTACCTTTTACTGTAACCAATTGTACCAGCTCTTTGGGAAGCCTGTTGTTGAGGTTAGTTTGTAGAATAACATTGATGCTTGTCATACAGGATGAAAATATTCATGATGTGCTGCAGCTCCTAGTGGCACTAATGTCCGAACATCCAGCATCCATGATACCTGCCTTTGATCAAAGAAATGGGATACGGTAAGACAGTGAAGTGAGAAAATATCTTAAAAGTAGTTCCAGTATCATCACTCTCCAGACTGCTTCTTTTTCACATAAATATCACACTTGCTGATCCTTCAAACTACAATTTTATTAACTTAGGGTACATTTTTTGACAAACAGTGGTTTTGATAACTTGGAGGAAAAAAATTTCAGCTTAAGGTTATCATTATGATATTTGACTGTAAATGTACCGTTGTACTTGCTTTTCAATCTCATATAGAATATGTAATAAACAAGATCCATAAAACAGCCAAGTATCTATCTCAGAATAATTTTGAATATTCTGTCTTCAAATGTTTGACATAATATGGAGGGAAGAAGAGTTAAACAACAAAAATTGTGCCCAAACCTCTCAAATTCACTTTGAAAAGATTAGAAAGGTATCTGTGGAATTCATATGTTTATCTGTTTGACAGTAAAATTAATAATTGATAATTCCAGAGAGCAGTATTCTTGTTTTCTTATGCCATATTTGGTAAAGCAATTTTTTTAAATATTAATTTTCATGTTAATAATATAGTATTTACTATAGTATTTTATTTTGTGCTGTTTGGAAAATACTTCGGAAAATGCACGGGGCTTGTAAAACGGGGGGCAGGGGGGAAAACAGACTAAACATCTACTGACTGATAAATTAAAGCTCCATTTTGCCAAAATATTAAGATCTTCATGCAAATTCATGTACTTAAAACTGTTTGAATGACGATGCTAATTGAAGGGAAGACTCACTCTAGGCATGGTTAGGATTTTTTTTTTTCTGCATTTAGTTGTCTGTCTTCAGACAGAATTCTACTCATGATACCTTCTGAAGAAGTGTAAGACTGATCTAGAGGATTTAAGAAATCTTTGTGTCACATTTGTTGTACCAGTATTAAAATTGTTTCACGGTTCAGACTCTGTGTTTAAAAGTCTGTGTTGAAAAAGTGGAGAGAATGCACAGAACTGCAACATTTACGTATTTAAAACAAACAAACAAACAAACTACAAACACCACCTTACATAGAATTAGGGACTTGTCTGCTTAGGTTGTTGGATAATGGCATTAAGCCATTTCAAAATAGGAAGATATTGTCTGCTGAAATGCTATTTAGTGGAGAAAGACTAAAAAGAATGGCTAAAAGCTGAAGCTCAGCTAATTCAAATGGGAAACTAAAATATAAATTAAAAAATCTGTTGAAGAACAGTCCAGAGAAAGGGTAGTGTTTTCTGTCTCTTGGTGTCTTCAGATCAAGACTGGTATCCTTTCTGAAAGGCTGTAGAATGTGTGCTTAAACCAATCATATAAATTAAATATGTAATAAATAAGTTAAATTTTGAGGACGTTTTTACACAGGATTTAAAACCGGAGGGTATATTTCTTTCCTACCTCAAATTTTGGTGCAGTGAGGATGTAGCTTCATAGATATACATGGGATTTTGTGTAACATACTACCTTCTTTTATTTTGACAAATGAGATTTCACTACAAACATCCTGTGATTAAATGCAGATACCTGTCCTGTGTAGAAAGGATATTGAGTAGGATTTTTAAGAATGAAAGAAGATTTTCAGTAGCATCCAAGTACTCAAAAAAACTTCCAAGATTTGACCTTATGTGCTCCAATCTGCTTCTCTTATCTTAAGCTACGACTACTCAGACTGTCTTTTATTTGATTGTTCCAAGGTAGAAGTATGAGAGACGGTTGTCGCCTTCTGGTATAAAACATTGAACTGAACCAAAAGACACCATCTCTTTAGCATAAAGAATTTGTAATCCAACTCTTGTGCTGTGCCTGATGCTTTCAGTATATCCTTTCATTTCATGTAAATTGCCATTTTTATTGTTTTATTTATTATACATGTGATATTAATAAACTGGAAAAAAATCTTGATTTTTTTTTTCTTTTTTAGAGTAATCTATAAATTATTGGCTTCCAAAAGTGAGAGTATATGGGTGCAAGCTTTGAAGGTCCTTGGATATTTTCTTAAACATTTGGGTCATAAGTAAGTGTAGTTTTAAAATTGTTATAATGGTGTACGTAAGTTCACAATTTTCTTGTCTTTTTGTCATGATTGCTGTATATTCTTTGAAAGATTTTAGAAATTACTTAAAATATGTTTTCTGATTCGTAATTTTCACCTTTATACATTGGGATAAAATTAATTTTCCAGTTAACTTTGTAATTACTGTGATGTTTGAAAAGATACAGTGATTGTCAAATACATGATATGCTGAAATTCAAGTCTTATAATGATTGAAAAATATTTTCAAAGAATACATTTTATAAATATATATTGTATGTTTAGCTAAGGATAATAGGAAACATGAGTGTCATCAAATCTTTGCTGCTGGAATTTTCAGTGTCATTGCAATAAAAGTTTCGGGGCAGTACTTTTAAAAATAGGTTTAAAATGATGGGAAAAATTAAATAGAAGATTATGTTATTCACATGAGAAAGTTTCAGAAGGAAAAAACAAACAGACTAAGTAAAAGATAATGAAAAAAGGAGGTAAGGACATACATCTGTGTAAGAATAGTCACATATAAAGTGTGGCAGCAAGAAATATTCACATTTAAAAAGAACTGGTGTCATGAAATAGATGTGCTTAGTCTCATCTTCCATGTTTTGATGTTAAGGAGGAATTAAAAAGCATGCAACACTGTGTAATCTGCTGCTGCTCACTTTTACCCTTCTACATGTGGTACTTAACTGTCTGCTGGGGTTAACTCGCAACAATATTCCAGTGGGAGACTGTGCAGTATCAAAATTAACCGTATGCTTCACAAGAGACTTCATCATGTAAAATCTCCTTAGAAGGGAAAGGAGCTAGGAGTCCAGCCAGAGTGCAATATTGCTAGACATGCTTTTCTCGGTAAGATCAATAAAGTATGACTGTGTAATTGAGAGACAGTTAGCTGAGAATATGCTCCTAAATGGGATTTTTCTTTTGGGATCCAGCAAGCCAAGTAGTGTTGTGGAAATTAATAAAGCAAATTGATAGTCCACTCAAGAATCTCCAAGGGCATTTTAAACATTACTTACTAAAAATCATTCATATTGATGGGAGTTGGATTAAGTAAGATACTCCAGATGAAGGTTTGGCTTCTACGGAAGTCTGGTTGTGTCCAAATAAGTACATTTGTTTAAAATATTTATTGCTTATCCAGTAATTCAAGTAGCAAACTCTTTCATTTCCTGGTCTTTAGCATCTACTTGTAATTACGGATGCGTCACTATAGTTTCCATTGTTAAGTAAAAGTACTTAGCACAAAATTAAATAACTTTATTTTTCATGTAATTGAAGTAATTGAAATCCACTTGCATATTCTATGCAACTTTCAGAGGGTTGGCCTTTTTTTTAATTTTCAGACATCTGAACATCTGTAAATGTTCACATTTTATGTAGATTACAACAAGTAAAAATGCCAACTCCTTGTTTATATCTTACAGCTAGTGCTTATGAGGTGGGCCTATTTATGCACATACATATGTGTGCATACGCAGGATTTTATAAAATTGTACTCAATTACAGGAAACTCTAAGCAATTATGAAGTTATAAACTACATAATGTTATAAAGCACCTAAATTTCTGTTTCACAGTACAGGAAACAGGCATTGTATTTTAATGCACTAAAGCAGAATTTCATACAGACATGTTATAATGTGATTTTTGAAATCTGAACCAATACAATAACAAATGTGTAGGTACAAAACCAATTACCATTGCTGTAGTTCATATATATTCATCACAGTTTAAGCTACAGAGTGCAGGTAATTGATTCTTACACGTGACCAATAATGTGTTAGATGGCAGCCTGAAAAAATTAATTTATTTTGATGTGTGGTCTGAAATGATACTTTGTCTAACCTTAACAGTTGGCAAGATCCTGTTCTTTTCTCCTGCCATTCTTGATTCTTTCTAGGCCAACACTGAAACTATAATCCGTTACTGATATTTGGTTTCTTTCTGCAATTTTAAATGAACCTTCATTTTTGTGTGCTACATTTTAGCTCACAAGGTTGAATGCTTATAGTCTTCCTCATAAGTACCTTATGAATTCCCTTCTGTGCACAGAAGAGTACACAGTTACAAGTTGTTGACACTTTCTTTTGAACTTTTATTTGAAAATTATAGTATAATGTGTTAATTTCAAAAATACTGGAATGAATGTATGTAATTTAAACCTATGTTATTGTCATCAGTAATCATAAATAAGGAGTTTTGTAGCTTTTTCTAATTGTAAAATTTTACAGAAACTTTACAGCATTTTATCTTATTTTGTATTTTTCTGAAAAAATAATTAGAATTTTAATAATGTTTATTACAGATTCATTGCAGTAGTAGATAAATTTAATGATGCAATTTATAAGAAGTATTCTGTTTACTTATGATGTTATATACACTTTTTAAAGAATAGTGTTGTGGGACAGATGGAATTCACTGCTGTGAGCTTCTTTCTTCTCCGCTTTTTAAGATTTGAGTAGTTTGTGATCCTAGCTATACAATTCACTTCAATCACTTGGAGTTTCATAACTTTTCAGCCTTTTATTTCCTTTGCATTGTAACATATGTTATTTCAGAATTTAATTATTTTGGCCACATGAGAGAATGCTATAGAAAGAGAATAGCAGTACTGATAAATCTATGTGTGGTAGTATTTATATTGGAAGATCTGAGGTTGGATTGTCCATGAAGAACGACTAAAGGTATGTTCTGCAGTATTCACATTTTAGCCAGCCTGTGAACATCTTGAACTCCCTCAGCCTGGCAGAGATAGAAGGAGATTTCTTTGTCTTTTTCCACTGTGAAAATCATGGAGGGTGAGAATGGTGTGTCATTTGTTTGAAACAAAAGCCCATCCCAAAACCAGCATGCATTCTCAGAACCTTTGTCTAATGCTACAGTTAAATTCATATTGGGAAATATCTTAAATGGTGTTTAATTCCTCACATTTATAGAATAACAAGTTTTATAACTTTTTAGTATAACATCAAAATATTTGGCTTTTGCATTTTTATTTTCTCTTCCAGGAGAAAGGTTGAAATCATGCATACTCACAGTCTTTTCACTCTTCTGGGAGAAAGGTTGATGCTGCATACAAATACGGTGACTGTTACAACATATAACACGCTTTATGAGGTAAAAATTATTAAAAGTAGAGATTGTCACCTCAATTATAAAAATTATGGCTTAATTATATTCTGACTCTGTGCTTTGGAATATCCTGCTTCTCATGACTTATGACAAATTTTTATATAAAAATTTTATGAAAGGATTTCTTGGTTCAGAATATATTTTGCCATGCTTTGGATATCTTTATTAACAATGTAATAATTTTTACATAGTCTCTACAAAACATACCACTTAGAGCATTGCAAAGGATTATGGAAAAGATGCTGCTATTTAAGATGTCCATCACTTAAAAAGAAGTTACTGCAGACCTCAATTGCTCTTACTCCTCCATTGCAATAGGAAGTGCTGGAGCACTTTGGAGATGCCTCTTTTTCTTTCTTGTGCCATTTCTTTCAATTTTACAAAATTTTGAAAAGAGCTGGTTTTGGTTTTTTAACTAGTAATGCTGACAGTATCCCAAAATGATAACTGAACACAGTCACTTTTACGTAACAGATACTGCTTGAGGCGAATATGACCTCAAAACATCCAGACTGTTCTACCACGTTCTTGTAGACACTTCAATTTTGATCATGAGCAATATTGTTGACAATATTTTGCTTTAACTTCGTTAGTCAAAACCCATGTCCTTATGCCTCCAAATACATAAAGATCATGTCCAAACTTCAATTTTTTAAAAAATGGTGACTTAAAATCGAACTTTTTGCAATTTCTGAGGATCTTGTACATGAGAAGGATTTTTTTTTTTATTTATGCCATTCATGTTTATTCAGTCACAAATAGGTGTAATGGCTGAACACTGAGGACTGATTCCAGAAAAGACATAGAAGACTAAAGCAATGCTTGATATTTAGAGATCTGAGTCTGAGTGATGTAGAACACGTTCTCCTGTGACTGTAAAAACCTTAACATCATCTATTTGCCAATGACTTACTCATATGTTAAGTTCTTCTTTATTGCATGTATCTAAGCTTACCCTGTGTGGTTTGACTACTTGGGTCTCACAGTCTAGATGCCGCTGCAATCAGATTTCTGAGAGCTTCTGTGATTGATATTCTCATAAAATACATTACTCAGTGATGAAATTAAAGTCCTCATGGAGGCCAGCATACGCAGATACCTACTTTAGTACAAATAGGCAGAGAACAAAATGGAGTTTAGTGCCAGAAATGCAGAAGATTTGCCAAGGAACTGCTGCAGATATTTTCCATGTTCTCCCATAAAAAGCAAAGACATATTTGCATTCTGTTTTAAATACCAGTATCTAAAGATCCATTCAAAGATACTGTGTTTACAAGTGTCATCAGTTTGATTATTGATCAATGAATAAGGTAAAGTTCTGCTTTAAAATACATAAGAAATTATTCCACTTGGAAATGCATTTGTTTGAATATACTTATTGAGAATCCTGAGTTAATATCATAAAATTTGTAGCTTTTTCTTAAAAATAAAGTTCCATACATAGAACCTATGACAGGTAGCCCAGTGTGAAAGGTCTGTGGCGTTGCCTCAATGCAGAATAATTAATCTGTCAGGTACAATTCATGAAACAGGAGAATGATCTGTCTTGCTCATTGCGTGAAGCACCAGGATTAATCCTATGGAATACTGTGAATGAGTGTTTCTTATTCCTAGCAGTGGAAAAACAAACCCACTTTTAAAAAATATTGGGTTTGGTTATGGATGGAATGTGTGAGAATAACTTTTGATGTACAGTGCTCATCAAGGAATTTTTGATCTTTGAATGTATAACACTATGAGGAATATGAATGCAATATCTTTAAAACACCATTGTTGTATATTTTGTTGTTTAACTAAAAAGTTAGTTAACCAGCAACTGTACATTCATGAAAATCTTGATCCTTGTACAGAGGAATTTTTCATTTTCATCCTTCAAGAATAAAAATATTAAATGAAAATGTTTTATATGAAGTTGCAATTTTGATGTGGTAAATGTTCTTAACAAATCTAAAAATGAATAAAGAAATGCTGTAATGTTTAATTAAAAATGGTAAAAGGAACTTAATACTCTCTTTTAGATTTTGACAGAACAAGTGTGCACTCAAGTTGTTCATAAGCCGCATCCAGAGCCAGATTCTACAGTGAAAATTCAGAATCCAAGTAAGAAAAATATACTATGTTTCTATGAGAAATGTATTGCCTACGGCTTGTGGGGTTTTTTGAAAGAATATGGTTCAAAAAGCCAGAACAATTCATTACTGTATCTCAAATACATGTGGGTTTCAGTTACTACCTACATAGCAACCTTTTTTAAAAGATGTTTTTAAAATGTGTTACGTAACTAATTTATTCTTTCAAAGTGATTCTTAAGGTGGTGGCAACGCTGTTAAAAAACTCCACTCCAAGTGCAGAGCTGATGGAAGTTCGACGTTTGTTCTTATCTGATATGATAAAACTCTTTAGTAATAGCCGTGAAAACAGAAGGTATGTCACTACAAATACTATTTTCTTGTCCTTGACTTGTGGATGATAGTAATCGATTGTACTCTGTGTAGAGTTTTATGCTTATAGAATTTTTATAATAAATGGAATTTATAAAGACTATAAAATTTGTAATAAATTTATTGTTATTTATAATAAATTCGTATTAAATTGAATATATAAAAATTAATTGAATAGATCTGTGATAACTTTTCTTAGTCCAGCAACCAATATTTGGTTCTTCTGTTTAGAACATACTTTAAATTTTTGTTCATCATGAAGTATTTTTAAGTTTCTTCCCAACATTGGATTGATTTTCAGAGGCGATATACCATATTATTTTCTTCTGTTTTAACCATCACAATGTTAAAATACATAAGCTTATTTGGATACATTTTGACCTAATTATTTCACTTTAGATGTTTACTTCAGTGTTCAGTGTGGCAGGACTGGATGTTTTCTCTGGGATACATTAATCCCAAGAACTCTGAAGAGCAGAAGATCACCGAGATGGTTTACAACATTTTCCGTATTCTCTTGTATCATGCAATAAAATATGAATGGGGAGGCTGGAGAGTGTGGGTGGATACTCTTTCTATAGCTCATTCCAAGGTAAGAAATGGTTCGTGGATGTTTTTTTTAACACTGCTAACTCCCCCAGAGGCACTAGCACCATAGTAAGATGAGATGTAAGGTGATTGAGTGCCATCTTGTGGCTATCTCCATATATGTCAAGGTGGCTTTTTTTGACATCGTACATCCTTTGCTGTGAAACAATTTGTAGTCCCTATGTAATATGTTGTTAAGAGTCTTGTTAGCTTTTATCCAAGTTCATATAGCATATATTCATCCACATAATCTGTTCTTTTCAAGGTCACATATGAGGCTCACAAGGAGTATCTAGCAAAAATGTATGAAGAGTATCAAAGGCAAGAGGAAGAAAACATTAAAAAGGGGAAGAAGGGTAATGTGAGCACCATCTCAGGTCTTTCCTCTCAGACGACAGGAGCAAAAGGTGGAATGGAAATTCGAGAGATAGAAGACCTTTCACAAAGCCAAAGTCCAGAGAGTGAAACAGATTACCCTGTCAGTACAGATACGAGGGACTTGCTCATGGCTACAAAGGTGTCAGATGATGTGCTTGGAAGTGCTGAGAGACCAGGAGGAGGAGTGCATGTGGAAGTTCATGACCTTTTAGTCGATATAAAAGCTGAAAAGGTAGAAGCTACTGAAGTAAAACTTGATGATATGGATTTATCACCAGAGACACTGGTAACTGGAGAAAACGGTGCACTTGTAGAAGTAGAATCTCTTCTAGATAATGTATATAGCGCTGCTGTTGAGAAGCTCCAAAACAATGTTCATGGAAGTGTGGGTATTATTAAGAAGAATGAGGAAAAAGATAATGGTCCATTAATAACTCTGGCTGATGAGAAAGATGAACCTTCTGCTAACAGTACCTCATTTCTCTTTGATAAAATACCTAGTCAGGAGGAGAAACTTCTACCTGAACTTTCAAGTAATCACATTTCTATTCCAAATGTGCAAGAGACACAGATGCATCTTGGTGTAAATGATGATTTGGGATTGCTTGCGCATATGACAGGTAGTGTGGATATAACATGTGCTTCAAGTATAATAGAGGACAAGGAGTTCAAGATTCACACAACTTCAGATGGAATGAATAGCATTTCTGAGAGGGAGTTGACTTCATCATCTAAAGGATTAGAATATGCTGAAATGACTGCCACAACTCTTGAAACAGAGCCTTCTGGTAGCAAAACTGTACCTAGTGTAGATGCAGGAAGCATAATATCAGATACAGAAAGATCTGATGATGGTAAGGAAGCAGGAAAGGAGATACGGAAGATACAGACAACTGCCACAACCCAGGTAAGTTTCCATTGCTGTAGTCATGTAGGTGTCTGATGTAATCCTGTATAAATTGAAAGTATGGGATCTGAGAGATGTTTGAAGTTTATGTCTTTAATTCTATCCTCCAGGTCTATTAGCTTGGAAAACGTCATGTGTAAGGACTGTGAAGTCTTTCATGTTTGCATAGAAAATATGTACTGCAATTCTGGGTTTAAAAAGCACCATTGTTTAGCTCCATTTTCCATTTCTTCTGAACAGATTATCTGATACTCTTAGAATTCTGCTTTAGACTTTCTTGTTAGTGTGTCTTAAGATTAGAAATGTGTTTATTTTACTATGAAATACACATTGAATTGTCATTTACTCTTGTTGTACCTTTCTCAGAGTAGTCTTACAGCACTTGAGTACACGGTCTTTCTTCCTGTGTTGGAATGCTGGCTTAATTAATCTCTGTATTTGATCCTAACACAAGAAAAGGAATAGTTTAGGGATAATAGAAGAAAAAACTGCAACTTGCATTCCAAGCCAGAAATTATTAATAAAAAAAGTAGTATCTACTTTCTTCTTGAAGATCGTTTCTTGACAATGTCCCCCTCTGAAAAATCAGTGGGTTTTTGAGAGTCATAGCAGTCTGAAAATGGGAAGGCCAAGTCAAAAGACTACTCTTGGAAAGAATTTGTACTCTGTATACACAACAAATTATAGGACCACTTTGAAATTTTAAAGCGCCGGACTAATTTTCTCGCTGGCATTGTTCAGAGACTGTAGCATGTAATCAAAGATTGCTTATAAAAATGTTACCAGACAAAGGAGTTGTCTACTTTCAATATTTTACTAGATGACTAGATGTCCAGTATGTACACCAGTATTTACCTTCTAGGATTTTAAAGTGAAACAGATTTCCTGAAACTGTGGAATAAGAGCCAAACAAAAATTGCAAAAAATGCTGTCTGGTACTGTGTAGTGTGTACTGAATTGTCAGAAGAAAGAGTTTCAGAGATACACTCAAGTACACTCAAAGTACATGTCATCTGATGAAAGAACACAGATCAGCCTGTCCGATTTCTTCTTCAGGGAGACAATACTTCTACAAAACCTCCATTGAATGGACATTATAATTTACTTAAACAACCTGTGGTTTCACAACAGATACTTTCCCTTTAAAAAAAAAATAATTTAAGAACGCGATTACACAGACCATTGGGTTCTGACATACAGAAAGACACACTCTTCTAAGACTCTCTTCTATAGTAACAACCTCTGTTTTGAAGAGAAAAGCAGGTGGAGCTCTACATTCCCTAGACAGGTATTACAGGAAAAGTTTGGAGTTCTCTCGTTAAGTATTTTTTTCAAAACTATGAAAATCCTTCTAACATTACTAACAGACTACGAAGCATTGTGTAGGGATCCCTGTATTTAAAAGCATTCTCTGTAGGAGAGTACAAGCCCTCAAAGTTCTTGATAGGAACTCTGTATCTATTACTATCATTAAGATGGTTAATACCATGGAAATTGATAAATGCAATGAATGGACGATAGGAAGAAAAAAGAGCAGTCAATTTTTATTTCAAAATGTAGTTTTTTGTTTAAAGAATGAAAAACAAGTGAAATGCTAGTATTCCTTTACTATGTACATATATTCCCCCATAAACACAGTGAATTTTTATAATAAATCTTTAATGAAATGATAATCTGACTTTGCACTAGCTACTGTAGAAGATCCTGTCTGTGTGACTTTGGGACTCTTCTCTTAGCTACTCACAAAATTCCTAACATCATTTGGATCTGCAGATCATCTACAAACCATACTCTTCAAGAGTCTGACACTACAAACTAACTCCACTGATTCTTCATATACTGCTTAAATTACAGTTATTTCCCACTAAAATAAATTAATTGGTTTCGGTCTGTAGCCATTAATCTGTCTTTTAAAGAATTTTCTTAAAAACAATTATCAACTGTGTAACTACCCAAATTGTTGTTATCTTCTAATAATCTTCTAATGGATGTTTTGAAATACCTTATGAACTGTAAGCTGTCCATAGTTTAAATCTTTTCTGTTTAAATGAAGTTAACATTAATAAAAAAAGATGGAAGTATTTATTAAATAAAAAATCAAACTTTATTATTTTCATGAGTAAAAAAGCAATGTTAATTTTAACATGTCTACAGTGGAGCAGGAGGCTGGAGTTTTTATTGCAGCATGCATAGGAACTGCCACGTTAGATCTGAGCTCTTTGAGACCACTGAAAACACTGAAAGTGACTTCAAAACTGGCCACCCCTGTGTAGATAGTTGAGTTTCATGGATGCAATGCACATCAAAGCCCATTCTTGCAAATACAGTACTATTGGGTAGATAAAAGCTCTTCTGGTATGGTACAGTTATGATACCATTACTGCTGCTGACCTGACAACTACCTGTAGTTGTACCCAAAACAGAACAAGTGGCATGTGAATGGAATTGCTAACCTTGAATTTTCTAAAACCAGATTTATAGCCAGCTCCCCACATTATCGGTAAAAGTAAGCTGTCTTTTGTTCCAATGTACTGAAAGGAAGCAAGAAATTTCAGAACAAAATAGAGATGGGAACTCCTTCTGAATTCTAAGAGGAGTTAATGCCTGTATCAATAGTAGATCAAATATTGCAGAATATAAATTTAAGTCTTCCCTATGGTCCCAATGAGGAAAGACTGAGAATTGAAAGCACTATACAGAAGATTCATGCAAGAAATTAAAATATTAGATAAGTCTAAGAAAAAAAAGAAAATAATCATTTGAAGATAATGTCAAGAAAAACATAGGAATTGAAAGCAATAGTAACAAATTTGATCCCCAGAGGTCACATTAAATGAAGAAAACCTGCCATGCTCTCAAAATACTGCCTACAGAAGATCAAAATCAGGCTGAAAATCTAAGAAACTTTCCAGCTCAACTCCAATGCCATGTCCATTTTTACATTGCTAGCACAAATGTTTTGTAAATGTGTTTTTCCTTTTAAATGTCCAGAGTTAAAACAGTATCACTAAATGAATACGTGAGCAAAGGCAGTATATTTTCTATTCTGCCAGTTTTAAGATGATTTAAAGTCACTTTAAAATAATTTCAAGGATAAAATTTTGTATTTCTGCCTGTCAGAGATGTTGATAAGTAATTCCATTATATATTTGCCTCAAATTCAGTAAAAATGTTTGTTCTTAACCACTTTTTCCTTCACGGTATTCTCCATCATATCTTCTATGTGTATCTTTTATCATTAATCACCGAGTGGAAACAGTCAGGCCTGTGTAGGTATTGATAGCGAATGAAATTTGCATCCACTTCCTGTTGTGAGAAATGTCCTGAGGATCCATAAAACTGTTAACCAATTAACAATGTGTGGCAAAATTGGAAAAATAAGATTTTGGAGGCTAGACTTGATTCTCTAATGATCCTGCTAAAAAAGACCTAATAATTAAATTAGTGTTGAAAAATGAGGTGCTGTCTGAAAGTACACTGATTCCTTGAAGCTATCACTGTGTAATTTGTTAATGTTTTGAGTCAAATATTCAAAGAAAATCATGTTATCAGCACAGAATTGTTGTTTGCTATAAACTGTCTTGTCACTACTGACCTTGTACTTGCTGCATTTGCTCTTTTCTGTAATACTTCAAGTGAAGAACCTGAGTGTAAAACATTGGTGAATAGCTGAAAGGAAGACCAGCCATAGCCCCTCAGTGCTGACTGATTTGAATTGGTGCCACTCCTTTACTGGAGGATACTGCCTGCCTTGGAATATCAGTATTTCCTGTAGTTTCTGATCAAGTCCAGTTTTAGCCCACTCTTCCTCAAATTCTATGATCCGTTCAAAAACACGTTACAAAAGGTTAATGTGACTTTTGAACTTCTTGTTGATGTAGGCAGTACAGGGTCGATCCGTCACCCAGCAAGACCGTGATTTACGTGTTGACTTGGGATTTCGAGGAAGGCCGAGGACGGAAGAGCAGCGACGGCAGTTTAGTCCAGGCCCACGCACAACTATGTTTCGTATTCCAGAGTTTAAATGGTCTCCCATGCACCAGCGGCTCCTGACAGACTTGCTTTTTGCACTAGAAACAGATGTACATGTTTGGAGAAGGTAGGTGGTTGTTTCTTTTTTAACTCCTGCTCTGCGTTTCCATCAACAAGGAAAACTTAAATGTGTTGTAGGGGAGGTGCTACTGGGATAGTGGAAAGAAGGGA